TAAGTTGTGAAAATTGGAGTGTGCAGTTTGCCCTTAAAGTTCAGGGAACTGGACAACTGGAGCACTAAATGACTGCTACGCCTAAAAAGATATCTACAGCATCTGAAAGTCATGTCTTTAAGAAAACATGTCACTTTGTTCCACCATACAATACGTTCTGCAAAGACTGATTGCCAGTTCCTTCATTTTTCAGCATGACAATCATCCCAAACATGCTGCCAATGCACTAAAAGCATCTTGATAGAAAAACACACAGTGGAACATTGTGAGACATGGATTGGCCTCCACCAGAGCCCGGACCTCAGCATTGCTGAAGCAGTGTGGGAGCATTTTGACAGAGAACAGACCAAAAGGCAGAAACGTACAAAGAAGAGCTTTGAATGTCCTTCAAGAAGCCTGGAGAAGTATTCCTGAATACTTAAACAAAAGACAAGAGAGCTCGACTGGTGAAGAAAAAAAGCGCTCACACCAAATATTGAGTTCCAAGCTCATTAAAATTGTACAAAGTCTTTTTTTGCTTCAATAAATCATAGCAACTATTTCCATTTTCCTAACAAAATATAAAGAAATGACCGGTGGTCTGAGACTCTTGCACACTACTGTGTGCAAAGAGGATTGGCACATATATTAAAACAACAGTGTATGAGGTGCTGCTCAAATCTGTTAGATGGGTCAGCTCAGCTGTAATATTCACTGCTTTTAACCAATCAAATTTGCGCTGACACCCAAAAGCTTCAAAGACAACAGTCGGGATACTGTGGAAAGTTTCTCTGAATATTCTGCATGCAGCTAATAACATAGTGCTGTATGTAATCACAGCGCAGCACTCTTACTACACGAGATGAGTGAATGCTGCTCTCTGCTACCCTCAGGAGGACACTTAAGAAATGACAGGCTTCCAAGCCCTGAAGTTCAAACCTCAGTCAACAGCAAAATGTTAAAGAAAATCTATTTTTATTTGTTTCCGTACAGTCCTTCTTCTACTGGTTAAGTACAACATCACAAGAAGCCACACTGAGGCTCTGGAGCGTTTGCCAGAGCAGCATTACACAACAGCTTGGTTCATCTGAGGGTGGGTGGTTAAGACTTGCTAAGGAAGCAGCATGACAATTTTTTGTTTCCTTCTTTAAATAATAATTTTTAAAAATCCCAGATAACATTTTCTCTGATATGAATTCCCTGTTTGGATTGAGTTTGTAGTGTCTGCAACCTGGAGAGGAAATCCTACTGCTCCTTTCCACAGGATCCCAAAGACCTGGAGGTGATCTCATCAGCTGGTAAAGCAGCACACATTAAAAAAAAAATCCTACAATTGTTAAAAACAAACAAACAAAACCAAAAAACCTTAACATTGACACATTTAAACACTGTTCCATAGACCATTTTGTGTTTTGTGCTGCTGACTGGCATCACACCCCATCACGAACTGTCAGACAGTCAACAATCCCACTTAGTTTAAAAAAATAAAAAAAAAAAAAGGAAGAAGAAATAATAATATGTATTTACAGAGATATTCACACATACAGCGTATACACCCATACTTAAACAGACATGTACTCATGGAGCTGTACATACCCAGACAGTGCACAAACCCACCAGAGACACAGTTAGCTCACTGTGCCGGGCTTAAATCAGTCACAGTTGTTGCCATATTACTACAATCTACTTCATGAAGCGGGGCTCCATAAACATCATTTATTAAAACAAAAACTGTCCTATCAGTGTCAACTGTTATAATGCGATAATGACTGAAAACAGGTACTGCGAATCACAATCACCTACTTAGCTGTCCATGTTCCTCCCAGCCATACAGGGACAGTAACTAGGTTGTGTTGTGGTCTCAGTGTTCAGTGATGCTCAGTAACAGTTTACGTACAAAACTTCTGCACAAGTGGTAAAACTGCAGAGATGATACCAGCGTTGTTTATATATCCCCAGTGCATGTTACCTATGTATCCTTAAAATAAAGCAGACTGTATAAAGAGATGATGCTTACTATGACTGTAAATCGTATTCAGTCAGATAACAAACAAACATTAACTCCTGACCGGCCTGACTGTTCCTCAGCCCAGTCCAAGGTTTTCCTATAATTCTTATTCAGTGTTGAGTTTTGTCCTTTTATTTTCAGCTCACTGGTTCTTCCTGTCCCACCTTTCAATAAAGACTGAGGTACCCCAAGTACCGTAAACAAGAACTTTACATCTCATACTGGTTTTCTTCTGGTTTGGCTGGTTTTCAAAAACGGTGAAGCTCAAACTGGTGAAACTAACAACCTGAGCTGAACTACAACAAGCCTGCCCCTCTTCTCTCGGCATGCTTTAAAAACCAGTTTGATGAAAATCCAAGTACCGAGGCCATGACTGAATGGCTATCACACTGGATACATAGTTACAATCACAAGAGAGGAACAGTGTTTTACAGGACCGGAAAAAGCAACGAGAAGTTATCAGACACACTGCTGAGAAAAAACAAAAATAGAGGCGCTGACAGTATCAGTGCGAGGGACCACGGAGCCAGGCGGTGCTGTGGAGTTCGCGGTGTCCCGTGCGACGACTTGTTCCCTCAGAGTGAGCCCGCTCCGTTAGCGGTTTTTGGACCCACTCTTCATTCAAGTGCTGCGCAACTTTACCACACACCATTGCCATAGCAACAGTTGAATCAAACCCCCCCCAAAAGACGTGATGTATGTTAAAAAATGTTAAAAACTACAACCAAAACACAGTTTTAAAAAAAGTGTTTAAAAAAAAAGAAGAAAAGAACGAATCAGCATGAAGACACGACACCTCAGATAGTAGGTAGAGTTGGGAAGCCAGTGCTCAGAGGTCAAAGTGGAAAGTTAGTAAAAGTCACCTGGGTTTGCTCTATAGTCAACTCTGTTCTAAGACGACAGCGCAGACAGTGAACTTCAGAGGGAAATTTGTACAATGTTTTACAGTTTCATTTAAGTTAGAAAAAAAGGATGCCCCAAATCCCCCTGACACATACCATTTATATATATATAAGTCATCTCATTTTAAAAAAAAAAAAGTGACAGAACCTTAAACACTGGACCCAGCTGTGGAGCCACATGTGGCCAGAGTTTGATGGTTTGGTCACGTTCAAGAACAACACTACTTGAGGCATTCCTGTTAATATAATAAAACTGAAATGGCATTTCCCCAAGGCATACGATACATTCATAATACTTTTAAGAGTACACGTGTGTGTGTTTGTGGCTGTGTCTATAATCAAATATCTGCCACAAAGTATTTATTCATCTGCATTAAAACAGAATAATGCATCTTCCTGTGTCAATTAGCTTGTACATCTATCTTTGTGAAGACCTCGGGAGTGAGGGGAATTTCTGCCTTTCCTCACTTTGAGTCGGAACTTAGAAGACAGGCTGTGTGAGGTGGAGGCCTGGAGTAGAAACGTGTGCGGTTAAGGGTTAGGCATTGACTTGTTATGGACAATATAAGAGGGGGGCGGTCTGGGCACAGCGCTGGGACAATGAGGGCCCTCACGAAAGATAGCAGAACAAACGATGCGAGTGTTTATCTTTGCATGGCTCGTCTTGGCTCCTGTCCTCGCGACTGAAGCACATTTCCGTAGGAAACAATTGCACCTCATTGGCTCAACCAAGTTGGCCAATCATCAGTGACGGAAGCCAGAGCCCCTGGGCCCACCACACCGCTGACACCAGAGTTTGGTTGGTGGATAGGTTAGGGGAAGTGTGAGCGTGCGTGCTCAGAGTGACTGTGTGTTTTTGAAGACACTGGAAAAAGAAAACCCTAGTCCTTTCCAATTGCAGTGTTGTCATGGATGGAGGGGATGCAGTTTCCGCGGTGATGAAAGTGAAGTGTCGGTAAGCAGAGGAGAAGAGAAGCTTAAACCTCTGCTCCTTTCAAGCCGATTCGTTCCTCCTCCTGTCAGTCGCTGTTGGGCTTCTTGAGGGAGAAGGCAAAGATGTTGAAGTGGTTACTGAGCTGTTTTACCTAGCAACGAAAAAGGTAAAAACAGCAGTTAATTCAAATTCAAAGGCCTTCATATATTGTTTCAGTTCAGTTTTGCATTGAATGCAAAGTTTAGGAACACGAAAATTACTGGTCTCCTCAGGGTTCAGGTTTTGGGCCATTGCTCCTTAACATGCACATTTTCTCTCCAAGTTAAATCATATAGGACAGAAGCATTATTCATTACAGCTATACAGGCCATGCAGTAAGATGTATTATGTATAAAATGGCTACATAAATGAAGACCTTTTGGAATTTGGTGGTTTAACGTCTATAAGTTTTGATCTAAATGAACACAATCACTGTTTTTGGGGGCTTTTTTAAGTGTCTTCTTAGCCTCAGTTGGCTGCGTGTTACTGGCACTGCTGCAGTGCTGGTAATCAGGATAAAGGCAGAGCTACAGCAACAAACACATCTTTGTCTTTGGAACAGCTGCAGCCTCTTTGCACAGCAGGGAATCAAACATGTTCTTTGCATATGTGCTCTTACCACAGACACGCCGTAGTGTATGTGCGCTAATACGACAGCAGCTGTCCACAAATAAAGCAGAAGCGTCTCGTTGGTGAAGACCCTGGTGATGGCTAACACCACCACTGCTGTCATGGGCAGTAACAGTATGCTCAGTGGCTGGCAGCGTGTGTTACTCATTTGACACACAATCAGCTTACACTGAAAGACAAACACATTCACAAAAAACACGTGAAAAAGCATTAACTATGTACTTCATCAAAAGTAATATGTATGGCATGTTTTGATTTCCAAAAACACCCGTTTGTTTTTTGATTTTCTAAAATAGATACTCAGCATCTTATAGACCGACGCCCTTCTATTTCTGAGGAATTGCATGAGGTCAGTAAAGCTACTGTTTCACCAACACTCAGGTATTAAACATAAATGTTAACCAGGCTGACATACACATTACTGTTAGCCTATATACTGTTTTAACAGTCACATTAGCCATCTGTTAAGTTATGGTTTAAGGCAACAGCTAGTAACTGTGGCTACTTGATAAAAGGATAACATTATTGTGGGAGTTAGGCAGCAAATGCTATTAGTCTTGCCCCTCTGTGAGGTTAACAGACAGCATTACTTAACAGAAAAACACAATAAGTGTCTAAAAAGTGTTGTGTTGCTCCTAAAGTCTCACACTGAAGTTGAAAAGTCCTGAGTTGAAGTCCACCAGCAACTAAACAGAAACAGTGGCAGGCCACCTTAACAACTCATTTTAGAAAGAAAAATACTGTGCCAAGTAGGGGTGGGCGATACATCGAATAAACTCGATGTATCTCAAGTTTTTCCACGTACGATGGTTAAAATGGCTTTATTGTAACCATCCAGTATAAGTTGCCACGGAAATATTAAGCTGTCTGAATGTAACTCACTCTAAATTTTCATTTCTCCCACATGCTGCGAATGCATCATTAACCCCGCCCCCCCTCCAACCAGAAAATGTTCTACCCGCGCACTGTGCTGAGCATGCTTGTCTATATACCAGCAGATAAGGAAAAATATGGTGATAGCAGGAGGATGTTGAACATAATGCTGTAATTTGCAAAACATGCCATAAAACTACTGCCGCAAAAGGTAGCAGTACCAAGAAAACTTTCCACCAGCTCAAAAGTCATCCACTGCAAAATTAAGACTGTTTTAAACTCTGCAATCTGAACCATACACCAAAGAAAACTTTAAATAAGTAGCTGTGATACGAGCTACAACAACTATCGGCGAGAGAAACAGAAAAGCGGCACAGTAAGTCCGATTCCACAGGCTGGTACGGGGGCACTGGGTTTCAAGACATATTGCGATGTATATTGTGTATCGCGATATAGCCGAAAAATATCACGATATTACATTTTCCTCACATCACCCAGCCAAGTCACCAGAAGCATATGAAATAAACAGGACTGTAGCTGAATACATGTGCATGGACCAGGACTATTGTAATCCATCTTTGACAAGTTGAAAAAACACAAATGAAATCTTTGGTATAGAAAACGGTATCAAGTATTTTCCTGGGTATCAGTACAGAGTTTGAAATTCTAGTGAGAAATTCTGACTGAGGAAACTACATTGCAGAGATGAAGGAAAAAAACAACACAAAAAAAAAAAAAGAAAAATCACACACTTACCGTGACGTTGGCAAAAGCTGTCCCCACCATGAGGTAGAAGATCCTGGGCTGCAGCTCCAGGATGTTGGATGGAGAGTAGATCACCCAAATGGTGGACAGCACAAACAGAAGAAACGGCGAGAGGAAAGGCAGTAAACCTTCATACAGGCTGCTGTGCTTCAGTGTGTTATTCCTGTAACCCCTGCAAAAGCACCGTGGGAAAACAGTTAAGAACAGAATTAGCAAAGGCAAGAGAAAAAAGAAAATATGATCTAAACTGATATAAGTTGTGCTTACTTGAGGACGTTGTAGAGGCTCATAGGTAAGGTCACAGTGAAGGAACAAGCTGGAAATCAGCAGAAATTAGTTTCAGTTTCACTGCTTTGGCTAATGAATGAACATATTCAGTAACTGAGTAATTAAACACAGCTCACCAATGATCATAAAGGTGAAGAGGTCTCTGTAGAGAAGGTGAAAAATAACTGGCTGGTACCAGGTTTCCACACCCACAGCAGCAGTAACCAAGTAAACAAGGGAGATTGTCTGCAAGGAGACGGGACACAAGACAGATGTTTAGAAGTCGAGAGTAGTGTCTCACACTGTCAATCATCCAAATGCCCAAAAACTTACCACTTGGCTGATATCATATCCCCAAGGCAGAAACAAGATGCCAGTGTTATATTTCTCCCAGTGGGACAGTATGAAGGAGAACAGCACCACCCACAGTATGTAAAAAAGTGTGACCACACCGACACCACTCTCCGCACGCCCAAATATAGAGTATACAGTGGCCACAAAGAAGACACAGGCCCAGCTGTCCAGACCGTGGTCAAAAAGCTCCCCTAGCGGTGTGGAAGAGTTGGTGCGACGTGCCTGTTTGCCATCAACACCATCTATAAAAAGCACAGACAGACAGATCAGCACATACAGTACAAGTTTATGGGGATATGTATATATGATGACATCTCTGCTCGGCTAAGGCTGAGCATAACTGGTCAAAGGGAGCAACATTCCTACTTCCCACTTCACTGTTACACCAACACAACTGGGCTTCATTCAGTTCACTCAGGAGCACAGCCTCACATGAAACATCACGGTTGCTTCACTTTAATGGTTCACAGAGTATGACGGAAGGATAGATAAGAAGGGATCAGTATAACTAACACAGATCATGTCAGTGGGAGAGCAACAGACAATTATAAAAAGATATTTATCATAAACTGCAATGAGAAAGTCAAAACTGAAAGTATGCCCAGAGATAAGAGGCTTTGTTCATGTCTAAACGTTCACATTTAATGTTACACGCAGTGATTACTGAGGTCATCAGTCATTAGGGCTGTGTCATATGACCAAAATCTCATATCCCGATATAAGAATTTTATCGTCCGATAACGATATAAATCACAAAAATGTAACATTTCCTGTAAATTCTGTGAATCTCGGGCAGCTCGACTTGCAGGAAGTGTTTCCAGCTGGGCGTCGTGTAGCTGGAGTCGAGTGTTTTAACCGATGCATGAAAAGATACATTTTTAGACATAAGTTGTAACGGCCGCCTTTTTCTTTGTGAGTATTTATTACACGGCGTGCTGCGGGGAAAAGCCTGTTCTAACGTTTGAGCCTAAGGTTTATTTTTTAGCAGCTCTATTTTCTGGCAGCTCTTTTTTGCTTCTCATCCGTAAATACTCTGCATCTTTCATGTGATTCAGTTTATTTTGAAAAGTCTCAACAGGATCTTGAGCTTTATTGTGAAACGTTTATGTGGAAAATAAACAAGCGGACACGCGGTGATTTTACGGTCCTTGTTGCTAACAACAACGCATAAAAACAAGCGCTTGTCCGTCCGTAGTGTGGTTATATTAAATATAAGAGAAAGAGAGAACTTTAAGAAATTAATATAGCCACTACAGTGACCATTAAAATGATGAAAAATATTGCCGTAAAGTTTATTTTGCGACACCACGAAACAAACAATAGCGTAAAATGAAACGATAGACGTTTTTATATCGTCATCCGATATATATCGTTATATCGAACAGCCCTATCAGTCATTCACTAATGGTGTTCAGGACAAACAGAAGAAACGGAGAGAGGATTCAAGTCTAACCTAACTCTGCAGTCCAGCATGAATGGCTTACGTTTCAGGATGCTGCAGTGTGACCCTTCTCTACAGTCAGGGAATGAAGCTGCTTCAAAGTGTGAGATTATTATATTATCTTATGCCACGTTAGACCCCTAATTAAAGACTGTGAAATCATTATGTAGTTTTAGTTTGCATTATTCTCCTGAAGAGGTGATAACTATCACAGTTATTAAACTGATTTGTATTACATTAGACTGCTCATTTATTGTGAATGAATGATATTGTTTTATGATGCATTATACTGCTGAGTTATAAGAAATACTGTTTTCAGAGAGTCATCACCTTATTTGTCTGATTAGAAAAGAACAGAACATACTGCACAGGAAGCCAAGGTCATAACATAAATGTGTGGAACGCTCAGACACTTCAAGATCAGGCGGACACCTTCCCGCGCTCATCTCTCCTCCGGATGGTCTCGGCTCATAAAGTGTTGAATTGTACGGAATAAAAGATTGTTGATTGAGCATTTATACACCGAGTATTGTCCTTCCTTCAGCCCAAAGACCAAACAGAATTGGGAGAATTTAACAAAAGCCAATTACAGTGGTCCCTCGTTTATCGCGGTACTTACGTTCTAAAAATGACCCACGATAGGTGAAATCCACCAAGTAGCTAACTTTATTTTTTTTACAATTATTATAGATGTTTTATGCTTGTAAAACCCCTCACTACACACTTTCTACACTTTACTCTGACAGGCATGAACATTTTCCCACTTTTCCTTATGGTTAAACACTCTAAAAGTAAAAATAAGTCCAGTATTACAGAATAACACCAAAGGCACCCGTGATTGCCTTTGACGGAGCGAAACGTTTCATCGACATTTTTTTGTTTGTTGGAGAAAACTTACAAACATACAGTACAGCACTTCAGAGTCACACCGCTAGCGATCAAAGATTTAGATAAATTTTACAAGCTGAACGCGTTCTGTACTGTACAAGAGACACGGCACGAGATTGATTGCCAGTGGTCTACAGCCAATCAGAACACATTACACAATGTGCTGTTTAAAAATGTTTTTGTTTTTTTTAAAGCATGCAAAATTGCACACACAAAAAAATCAGCGAAACAGCAAGACTGTGAAAGGTGAACCGCATTATAGCGAGGGACCACTGTACTTATGTTATAGCTATTAAGTGGGCAGCCATATGTACTGAAACCTATTTCCCCAATGACATTTTCCAGCCTGGATTTCCCCCACCTTGCTACTTGTCAGAAGATACGTCTCTTTTTTTCAGCCTTGACAACCACACATCATACTGAATATCAGACAACAATTTTATTTCAAATATGCTTTCCTTCAAGTTTTGTTTTTTTTAAATAAAATATATAGATATCAGAATTGGGAGTGCAATATATTTACTCTTATAATGTTGTTGCAATGGTGGTTGGTCCCTTATATTTCATACACATACCTCCAGGATGTCATGCATAGCTTTAGACAGACAAGTGCAGCTTTATCTGATTCAAGTTACAAATAGTCTGATAACTTTTATGATTTCAGTTAGAGATACTTCTAAAAATTGAAAATGTAATGCTATGAGATGTAACATGAGTGCATATAAACAATCCAGAAAAACAGGTGTCTGCGTGCCTCATTCTATAAAGTAAACATCCGAAACAAAAACAGAATAGGGGCCTTTAAGCTTCCCTGTGAGTTTCTCTACTTCCCATGAGTAAGAAGGGGAAAAAAAATGTACAATAAAAATAAAAACAAGCCACATGGAGTTGCAGAGGTCAGAACTCACCAAGTGTATAGGCTAAGAAGTTGAAGATCCCCGCTGCAACCCAGACCCAACTAGGCACGTGTTGGTATCCTGCAGCTGAGAAACAAACATTGTGAGTATATGGCGCGACACACGGAGATCATGAAAAACTTAGACTAGAATAATTTTCCACATTACTGATTCCACTCACTAGACCAATGTTATCCAATCTAAAAAAGTCAATATTTTAGGACAACTGTTAATATGTGTGCACTGTTTGGATTAGCTATTCCTCTAAGAGCTCAGTACTGACAGATAAAATCCTGACTGGCCCTCATATTGACTGTAGAGGTCAGCCTTTTGTCCATGAGTGTTTCATTTATGTGTGTATAAGGTAACCACTTAGATTGGACAGCAGACACGCCAGAGCAAAGTATCTTATTTGCAATACAGAGATGTAGTCTGGGCATGTAAACAGGAACATCTCCCTGGGTGTTGTTGCCTGTGTTAATGACGTAACGGGTTAGTGATTACCATGAGCCACCATAGGCAGTCGATCGCTGGACTTTGCCTTCCATAAACAAACTTGCACATGCCTGAATCTCTCTTCCTACTCTAGACAACAGCGATGGATTCAACCCACGTCTAGTCTGTTTGAGGGAAAACAAACTGAGCAACCCTCCCCAGTTTAAGAAAAAGGAAAAAGTGAATGACCTACAAGATGCATTGAAGTCAAAGTCGTAGAAGGCCAACATGAGGAAGTTCAACACAAGGAACATAAAGCCTGTAAATGTAATGAGGTTTGGTGCCAACCATGTGGGTAGAAACTGTTGAGAGAAAAAAAAAAAAAAACAGAGGCTGTGAGAACAACAATTCATGATCATGGCACTCAGCTCTCACACACAGTTTTCTCATCATAGTAATGGCATATTGAATAACTGGAATTTAATTAGTACTGCTGAATAGAAGGTTTATGTATATTAATATGAACCTTTTCAAATGACTGTTTGGTTAAATGACAGCATTAAAAACAACAACAGCAAAAAAATCCTCCCAAATCTAAAACAAACCATTACAATCAGTGACTGATGTGTTCTGACACTGGCAGAAAAATGTGCGCTGGTAATGCATCAGGTCGTCTCGCTACTGTATCACAGCACACGGCTGGAAATCTCATTAATGATGTAGCCTGCAACTGACACATTAAGCTGGACGGGTCTTCCTCACCTTCACAACAAGGTTCCAGAAAGGATGCATGACGTAGATGGACAGGGGATTCGAGTCCACTGCGCTGTACTGCAAAGAGGCACAGAGGTGTGATCACAAACAGGTCTTTAATTCTGTATTTCATTGCAGATCAAGCAAAGCAACTGCCTTGTTAACTGGACCGTCTTGGTACTAAATAAGAATAAAACTGATTGCAGTGTGCACCTTTTTCCATTGTAGGACCCAATGTAAAAGCTCTATTGCATTGGACTGTGTTTTTATTTTGGTATGCTTTCCTATTATGAGTAGATATTGACTCTTTGATATCTATCCTTTGGCACACCCATCTCCTGCGATAGACTTTGATCACACTGTCACTCTTAGATACTTGGAAGAAGGGTGGGATCTTCATTTTTAGGGGAATACACAAAACTATTGTTTTTTTGTTTTGCTTTGTTTTTGTTAAATACACTGTTCTTACAAAAGCTGGGCTCCCCAGTCTTCACTTTCCAAGTTCACTGTGAATACAGTGCAGCACTTAATACTGCAACAGCCAACTAAGGACACAGGCTAATTTTACTACACAGTGCTCTCACTCAAGCCTACACAATGATTTATCTAACCTAATATGAAAATGTTTATCTACTACTGCAATACTGACAGCGTGTTCAGCGTAGATAATGATGATTATAATATGTAATGACATAATAGGTTGTTTGCGTAATCACCTGTGTGATTAAATATAACCATACATGGAAAAACAGGCACTATAATCATAATCTGTGTGCATTAACAGATACACAAGTATGTCACTTTCACACCAACTAAGGTGGCCCTGCAGTCTGTGACCTGTTACAAAGGAATGTGAGAAGTGGAGTGACAGAAAAAAAAAGTGAACTGATCAGCTGAGCAATCTCCACGCTCTTGTGTTCTTCCCACTTAAAGCTCATCTATATGCATCTTTATTCCCCTTTTGAGAAAGCAACCTCTGTTTTCAAGGAGAGTCACAATCCCCTCATTTGCTCTCATTTGTCCTTCTCTGCTGTCTGCTAGAAACCAGTGCTTGGGTTACGGCTGCTATTAGACCAGGGAAGCCACTTACAAGGAAAAAACTGGGAAAATGGTTTCTTGTGACAATCAGAGATATATGACGACTCTTGCTTTTGCTGCAGTGTGAAGCAGTAAAAGCATGAGGTATTAGGAAGGAGCCTGAGTACCCACACTAGGGTTTTAAAGGAAGAAGAAACTTGACTGAAATAATGCAAAACATATAGAAAAAGTTGTAATGTTATAGCACATGTTAACAAAATGAAGATATTCAAAGATCAACTTACTACTTAAAATACTCCATGACTTCCATGCCCTTACAGATGAGCGCACTGGTAATAGCCCAGTGAAGCGCATCCTTATGGGAATTAACTAACAACTAAAATGCTATTAGTTGGCAAACACAAAGTGTGATTCCGTTCAAAACCCATCAAAAGACAATGTTGTACACCCCAGAATTTTTTACAATTAATTTAGACACTTTTAATGTGCTTCTTTGTTTCTCATATCCTACTGGATCCAATTCAATGGTTTCCTCTCCACGCTACCATTACAGGTGTTCGTTAGCAGTTTTATTCCTTACAGTGGCTGAAATAAAAAAAATATTAACAGCTGGAGTCCAATAAAAAGGAAATAGATAAAGTCTCTGAATTGTGGTGTCAAAGCAAAGAAGCCTCCATTCAAATACAACATAAGCAGAGAGGAGTCGCTAGCTGTTAGCGCATATGCACCAAATGTAAAGTAAAACACAGAAAATAAGGACACTTCCGAGCAAAATTTTCAAACAAAAAACGTACCTTTGGTGAATATGAGATGAGCTACTTTGCGGCTTTTATTTTCAACAGGAAAAATGGCAAACATCCGGTATCGTTCCGTAAACTCTGAGTACCTTTACACATTTTTCAGGGAGAGCACCCTGCAGATCGTGACAACTAGCTGCTAAACGCACAGAACCTGTCCGCTCAGCGGCTAGTTGCTAGCATGCCATTGTAACCTATAAATCATACCTTATATTTGTCGAAGCCCGCAAGCTGCTCCTGAGTGACATATTCGTAAAGAGCCATGGCGGTAGGGTCTGGCTCAAAGACGAGATAACTAAATATCTCTTCCTTTGGAAATGCAAATCTCCAATGTTAGCTGCCGTGTTCAAGTACCATCTAGCTTGGCCGCCTTCGTTTACGCCGGGTGAGGCGATGTCGAACCATAGGAGCCACTCCTACGGAGCGCAACCCCCTTCCCGGTTAAAGGTACCCGTAGCTCACTACCGCCACGCAGGCCTGGAGGACCCTGAAGAAATAAACCACACAAAATTCCATGAAATTCTGTTGACTGGGTCCCTCTTCCACTATGGTATGGTGATTGTGGTCTCACATTCTGATAAAAACAATGCTAAAATAACTTTTAAAGTGCCGGAAACAGTTTTGACTCCTTAATTGCTCACCAACTCCATCAATCAAACAACTTCTATGGCGCTCCTAGATGTGACGTGGCTTTCCTCTTTGACCGGAAGAAACGTCACTGCGCTTACCTGCTGTTGGAGAGCTGGAGTATTGCTCGAACCGGGAGTTAAAAAGCAATTTAACAGAAAATGTGAGTGATAACATTTGGTAAACGTGATTGCACTTGGATAAAATTTGTAATTTTGCTGAAATATAATATGAAACGTTACTTATTTTACTTAGTTCAGTTCGTGGGGGTGTTAGTAGTTAGCATGCTTAGCATTGCTAACGCTACGTTGATTGTCCACTTAGAAATTTTACTAAAATATATGATAATTTGGCGGATTATTTTGAAACTATCCGATCACTCCTATCTGTTATTATCACTCTGTTGATTCACATAAAAATCCTAATATGCAAACTGCGGCAACGTGCAAAATGTCGGCACTTAATTGTAACATTACATGAAGTTGTGCATGATCTCGCTACTATTTCATTTTTTCCCAACTTTCTCTGTTAATTTGTGACATAATTGTCATGCCTTACCTTCAAGTCGCTAGTGAGAGAGAATGACATTTATTTGAAACTGGTGAAAGGTCCTGAAATGCATTCAGATATCTGCCAAAGCTGTAAAAATAAGCACAGAATATACAAAATAAACATGACTTTATTTTAACCTTTTGAAAATGCCTCTTCTCCTACTACCCACTGATGTAACACACTTTTTCTTCACCCCAGCACCTGCCTAATCTTGCCTCTGTGTCCTTTTGCAGAATGGTGACAGACGTGCAGCTGGCCATATTTGCCAACATGCTTGGCGTCTCCTTGTTCCTGCTAGTGGTGTTATACCACTACGTTGCTGTGAATAACCCCAAGAAGCAGGAGTAGAGTTGTACAGTATGACTGCAGAGGTCAGTGAGGTCAGACACTGTTTGCGTTTTTTTCTTTTAACATTTTCATTTCTGATGTTGATCATCATAAAATAACAAATTGGACAAAAGCAGGTTCTTGCAGTTTTTCTTTTTATTGTGTTTCTATTATTTATACCCCCATGTATTAAAAAAACATGACTCAAATCCATCTATAACTGTTTTATAGTATGGCAGCTTTTACATTTAGTTAGTATAATTTTGATGCTGCCAGTGCTACATTATTCTATTATTGAAGAAAAGTCCCTTCTACAGTTTTCAGTAAGTGTCATTAATAAAGGAAAATGCACAGAAATAAAGGTTATTGGGCTACATATATAGAGTTAATTTGTTCCATCCTAGTTCATGGCTGATCACTGAGCACTACTAAAAATCTGGAGGAATAATTACAAACAAACAGGATTTTAAGGTTTAACAACTGTGAAACGACTGAGGCTTTCTTTTCCTCCCCACAGATGAGATGGATGTCAAAACCACCACCTTGATTACATCATCCCCCTCATCATCTCCTCTTTCTAAGAGGTGTAATTTCTGTTTGCACAAGGATCTTTTTTTCTTTTTCTAATAAACATGTTTGAATTTGAATTTCTACAGTCTTTGAATTTTTTCACCTGCTCTGTACACATGTAAACATTTGTTATGCAACTTTAAAATACATGGAGTTTATTGCAGGTTATTTATACTTCCAAATTTAAACACAGTTTTGTTCATCACAATCTTTGCAAAAAAACCCAAAACACGAATGCTATATGAATAAATATACACATGTACATATAAAAGGAAGAAAAGTTAAAAGTTAATTCAGTACAAACGGGTAACTGTTTAGGTGTTCACTCCAGTTGGATGCATCACGTTTCCTTCATTAACCTCACTGAGTGCATTTTGCAGCATTAACTTAACCGACGACTTCCATAAGCCTCACACAAAGCTTGTTTTAGCTTCAGCAATTTTGGTTTCTTATACACATAATACATTATTTTAAACCTGCACGCAGGAGGATTTTATAATGTGACATTTACTTTTATGGTGAGTAGAATCACAAAAACTAAAAAAAAAAAAGGCCAAGTAGGTGAAAACCATTTTATAAACAGTATGTGCAAATCACAAAAGTGGAATAAATACACTCATCTCACATTTGTTAAACATCCACAATAGAGATAATGAGATTATAAAGTTGCTATTGTGCTTATGAGTCTAAATAAAAATCAGCCCTTCCCTGTAATTGTACAAGTGGCTGCCTAATAAAATATTTAGCAGTGCATAACAGTATTGGTCGGTATCTGAGGGGAGCAGCAAGGACCAGAAAAATGCAACTTAAATCACAAAAACAGGAAATGTGAGGTACAATTATGGTAGCTGAAATGTTCAAGGATGTTTCAAGTCTGCATTCTTGAGCAGCTGGAAAAATTTGAAAAGATTGAACCACTCCCCCAATACAGCTGCTAATGTAATGTCATAGAGCAAGGCACTTAACCTTCAGCTATTCCAGTAAAAACAAAAGCTGCTCAGTAGTTGTAACAGGTAATTCTAGGTTCTAAATGTTGCCCAAAAAGGCTAAAAACAATACGATTAAACATAAAAAAATTTATTTATATTGCACATCATCATGCCCCAACCAATCCTCCACTGGTGACAAGCCCCTCTCACATTTTGAAGTATTCAATTGCTCAATATGATATTTTTAGGCTGTCGGTTTCCTAGGCTTCTCCACACAGGGTTACTGTCTCACACATGTTCACAGTGTCAGGCACAGTCACTGGAGTTTCCTCCGCCTTTAAAGACAACATCACACAGCCTAGTCATCTTTTAGTTATTCATATTAAATTATAGCTTCAATCTAAATGTACATTAACAACAAGAAGTGTGCACATCGGTTTTCACCTGTTGTTGTGTTCCCATGTCCTCTGCTGCACTTTCTATGATAGCACTTTCTTTGCACGTGATACTTCTGTCTGTGCTTTTCTTCATTAAAGCTTTAGAGGCCAGCTGTATGGCAGCTTCTTTCTCAGATACACCTGCAGAATGGAATAACAGAGGGAAGCAAAGAATATGTGAGATGTCCACTGTAATATGGGAAATGGGAGTATTAAGTAAAACTTGATGGTGACATTGTGGATTTAAGGACCAGTACTTCAGAAATTGTTACATTTTAGTGGACACAAAATTATGTAGTGCAGTAATAAAATTCTCCAGCAGGAGGCAGTTTATTAAAGTCCATTTCTGAGTCTAAAGACTGCTGGGTTCCATCTGTTTATTTTTACTCTTTTCAATTCAATTTTATTTATACAGCGCCAAATCACAACAACAGTCGCCTCAAGACGCTTTATATTGTACAGTAGATTGTACAATAATACATACAGAGAAAAACCCAACAATCATATGACCCCCTATGAGCAAGCACTTAGGCGACAGTGGGAAGGAAAAACTCCCCTTTAACAGGAAGACTCTTGTGTCTGGTTGATGTGAATGAGAGGGGATTGCAGTGTATGGTCACAGATGGCGTGTTCCCTGGATTAAAGAAGACCAGTTACACTCAGTTCAGCTCCATATTCCAAAGTTTTGAAGCTGAAATTAATCTTTATTTATGTCATGCTGGGCCTTGGCGCAGCTCTTCAGTTCACTACATCACAGAAATCAGCTCACGCCCCTTCCTTAAGCTGACTTTCTTCTGACTGGCTGCTGATTGCAAACAAAAGATCTGAGCAGCAAGTGGGTAGGGCTTTCTTGCTCAGAGCCAGAGCTATGTGCCTGGGTTGACCATCATAAATTATATATTTTTCCATTCTCATATATATATCACTCTTACATACATGGGCCTCAGAGAAAGTTTTACTTATATTTATTACAAGCATTCGGCACTGTAGCGGTAAAACATGTTGTTTAAGATGGTGGATAACCTGAGGGACTGTGTCAAGGTGTCACTAAAATAAGCATGTGTATCATTCAAAACTTGTAGCAGAGCTCAAGAATAAAAACATTAAGCTAATGTGCCTAATAAGTCCACTCTGAAGCATCACTATGCTAACATATGCTAATTACCACTAAAGTAACTACTACATCTGCAGATCAAAGCCAGGTGGCAAACACCATAGTAATTAGAAGGGGGAAATCTATGACTGCACCAAAAACAGCTGTTGAAATATTTCACTTAAAATCAGAAATGTCCACCTCATATTAGCCAGTGTCAAAATCAGGGGGTGACTGAAGTCATTCTACCACTTGGGGATCCTGAATGTGTGTCCTTTATATGGATGTACAGATCTGAGCTTCAAAAGTGGTATCTGAAAATTCTCTGGATGTCATTCAAAGTTATCTCATTACATTTCATGCACACTGTGGTCAGATGCACAAATAAGCACAATCATGAGTTCTATGTTGTTGTTTTAGAAACGATTCTCCTTTAATATCAAGTAAAACATACTTTTATGAGATGCCTTCATGTCACTTATCCCCATTTTTAACTGATCATTGGTCAGCTCATCTCTGTAATCTATGTCATAAACAGCCCAGAGCAACAAGCAGGTGTACATGCCTGACAATGACAGGTGTCTGTGGAGGCCAGGTCTGAGCAGCTTCCACACCTTCATGGTAGCAGACACCTCTTTACCTCCTGGTGGGTTATTGCTAGATGGAGATGCTTTATTGTTGTGTTTGGGAGGTGCGTCAGTCGACCCCATCCTTCGGATGGGAATGCGGCTGACGTGGGGCTGCAGCTCACACCTGGGCAGGCGACAGAGAGGTTAACATTTTCGCTATTCAAGAAAGAAAATATCAGCATGAAGAAGGGGTTTCCAGTGTGGTTTTCATTTCATTTTTCAGATCCCAGCCTTTGTTGACTGTTTTGGATTCAAATTATTACAATGCAAAAAAAAGAAAAAAAAGATAGGGCTTACTTGCTAAATTTGATGGAGGAAAGGATGTGTTCAGGCCCCTGGTCTTTAGCAGTCTGTGACACATGGAGACATTACAACAACACATCATAGTCTAAGTGTATATTAATACGGGAGATCTTTTGCAACAGTGTTAATAATGGAAATGTGAATTTGCTCAGTGAGTGAGCCAGCAAGGTAACCTAACCTCTCTACCAGCTTCTGTGGGGGGATGAGTGATTGTAAGAGTTCGGCACCCTCTCCCTATGTGCCCAGGACGTATAGGTAGAGGCATTCTGGACCAGACCGCAGAACT